CCCCAAAACCCCAAAACCCCAAAACCCCTTATTCTAGTAATGATACTGAAATTACTTTACAAATCCCACGTACAAAACTTATAAATCCCTACTGGAAACCTCAGTTACGAAGACATCGTACTGGAGTCATCAGAGTCATGGTCATTCTCAAAAGGCATCTCAGGATTGGAGATAGTGAAGTTATGAGGATTTTCATGTGTGATTTCGGAAAATATTTTGGTGAAAGGCCGAGATTGTTGGGATTTTGGGAGGGAAAGTGGCTCCAGGAAGGAGTCAAAGTCTTCAGTGTCACTGGCGAAGGAGGTATGGCACTGGGAAAGAAGGTCTCGTACTGTTTTGGAGTGAGGAGAGGGTGGTTTTGAAGGAATTTCAGGAAAATCGTTTTCGGTGGTTATCATGTTGAGGGAGAGCAAAGAGTCAAGCCCTTTCTTGTATTTACTAGGACTATCGAATGTTATTGGGTTGATGTTTCCATGGGTAATGTAATGGTCTCAGCTCATTACGATATTGTTTTTCTTTACTTGTTTCATTGCCTTCTCGAATTCTTGAAGCAAACTTGGACTACAAATCTCTTTAAAGCGCTTGTACTGCTTTGATATTTCTTCATCTTCTCTTGTCTTAAATGAGAGGTAATCAAGACACATTTCAGTAAGAGAAGCAATATTATAAGATTCTCCAATCAGATATAAGTGATATACAGTGAAGTCTGAAAGATACTGCCGAATATGAATTACTCACTGAGCCACTAACTCTTCTATCATGAAATATTTTGCTAGTATCATTAATTTCACCAAGCTTGATCAGGACTTATGCTTCATCATTGTTTTGCCAGTAATCAGATACTCATAGATTGTATCAAAATATTTCACTTTGATTGAGTTGAGATGTATGTATGCTTGGCCACTTTCCTTAAAATTTGTCAGCATGATCCGGAAGTACTCAGATCTCTCAACTAGGATGCACTTGTAGCTCTGGTAATATTGGTCTCCGACCAATATTACTATATCTCCAAAGTTCGAGCAGAGGGATTTGTTGAAGATGAGATCTTTGAAAAATTTGCTAGAGTCCTCTTCCTCAATGTCTTCTGGTGATACCACTTCTTTGTTCATGAGCTTGTAAAAATCAAACATTGTACTTTGATTTTCGCCATATTTTAGTAAAATTATGGACAGATCTTTCGAGTTAGCATCAGACCCATACATCTCAAGGTCTTCATCATGGGAGAGCAGATGCTCTCCATGGATTGAAGTGCCATCTTGCTTCTCAACTAAGGGAGCTGAATTCCAGCTTAGCTCCTCAGTGTTATCACTCTGAGAAAAGGTATCTGAGGAAAAGGTAAAGTTCTCACTATTTGGTTCTCGAAGACTGTAGTCTGAGCTGATCGAGGATGAGTTCTGATTTTGACTTCCTAAAGAATGATTAAATCAGAGGTAGTATTTAAGAAAGATCTTGCATTTGTCACTTACAAATTAAATCATGCTTTTGGATTGCGGAGTGAATATATTTCTGAAGTCATTCAAACTGCAGAGCATCACATGCTTTAATGATATCAGTAAGGTCTCTTAAGGAAATCTTATTGATGAATGTCCCTCAGTAGAGAAACTCTAGGATCTTGAGAAACGATCTGAAAGTTACCTGATCGGGTAAGTGAACTATAGCTACTTTTCTGGTTTTCTTCTGGTCAATAACTTTTCTTATAAAATCTGGAGGAGCTTTATTCATCAACCTGTAGACAAGAAGGACTGAATGAGCATATATCTTTCAAGTGTATGTTTTAGTTGGAAATAGCAGTGAGCCTCTGAGTGAACTTCTCTTGGTATGTTCCTTTCCTCTCTCATGATATCTTTCAGACTCATTAGTTGCAATGAATCAGACATCTGCAAATTCAGGCTTATTTATGAGAGAAAGATATACTTTGTGAATATCTTTTGGATCGTATATGATACTAAAGGGTTTCGCATTAAATGTAGTACATGTCACTGAGATACACGCCGTCATATCCACCAAATAGAACCATTGTTCTTCCCACAAAGATTGCTGAATGTCTTCTCCTAGCCTTAGGAAGAAGGGAATCTTGGTTGTAAAGGTCAGTCCACTTTTTGGTCAGAACGTCGAATCAATAGAGATCGTTTCAGTCTGTTTCATTCCTTCCTCCGAAGATGTAGATTTTGCCATCATATTCTGCAGCTGAATGACCCCACCTTGGAGGTGGTCTTACAGATTTATTCTTGAATTTCTTCCATGATATCGTTGGAAGTCTACAGAGATTATGACATAAAAGCATACCTGTGCTGGCAAGTGATGATGGCTTGTTTAATCTCATTTTTACAATTCTCTAATTTTTGTGATATTGATAGGTTTTCTTTGTAATCAGATTCTGATTGACCTTCCCTCACATTTTGACTCAAGTTGTTCAATCCTGGAATTTGAGGGAGCTGGCTGCATTCCTTACATAATTTATCAAGGAAAGGTTTTTGGGTGAGCTTATAATCTAGTATTGCATCCTCGAAGTCGAGTTCTATGATATCGCTGAGATATTCATAATCTTGATGGCATCCTCCAAACATGTAGATCTTATATCTCCACTTTTGGGACAAAGCAAGGTTGTTCTTGAACTCACAAATAGTTGATGTGTGAAACCTTCTGGGGCTAAATCCGTTATTTTTGAGCTTAAGTTTAACCCAACAGTTATTCTCAAGATCTAAGAGATGGACATCATTCATGTCAAATTCTGCTTCTCCGCCGATCACTATCATGTATGACTCAATGATGTTAGCAGTATGGTAGGTCCTTGGAAGTGGGGGCTTACCAAATGTGTGAACCTTGACCATTTGTTCAGTCTTGATATTGAACTTGTGGGTATCATTTCATCGTTGCTTATCTGGTCCTCCCCCTCCAAAAAGATAAATTCTGATAAAATGATCACAAACCGCTTACCATTTATCTTTGCTAAAATATACAGAAGTTTGGTTGCTGCGTTTGAGGCTTTGGTCTATGTGGGTATCTATCATCTTGAGTGTCCTTGCTTCAAAGTTGAACTTCCAAATCTCATTGAGGTATTCGCCTGTAGAATGAGAGGAGAACGACTTACCATCAAATCCTCCAATAATGTACATTATATCTTCCGCATTCACACATGTATGGGCCCATCTTGGTGATGGATACTTTTGGAAATGTGAATGGATTCTCATATCATGCCAGTAAAGACTTTCAGAGGTCATTTCTGCTATTTCGACTCGAATAATTAAAACTCTGTAATCCCGCTGATTCAGACTAGGGTGACTAGGCTGGATTCGATAATGTTTTAACCTTTTCAATAAATAATCTTGATATTGGGGTTTTGGGGTTTTGGGGTTTTGGGG